TTTTACCCCCGGAATTTTACCCCCCGGAATTTTACCCCCGGAATTTTTGCCCCGGAATTTTACCCCCGGAATTTTACCCCCCGGAATTTTACCCCCTGGCCAGATATAAATTAGTGAGAATGATTAACTATCGTCATTCAGTTTTAATTTAATGGTAAACATTTTAGTATTAAGTAGCCTATCTTAATTTATATGTAACATTAACTAATCGAACAGGATTTTAATATTAATTTTGAGATTCGAGTGTCAGGATTCGATCTTTGAAGCCAACTGTTGGTTAATATGATCAAAATAAAACAGCGAATTCTGTTTACTTAGTTGAGATTACAAAATAAATAAATAAAGATAGGCTACTAATGAAATGCTTACAATTAATTAAAAACAGAAATAAGAAAATCAATCATTCAATTTCTAAAATCAGCCAGGGGGTAAAATTCTGGGGGGTAAAATTCCGGGGGGTAAAATTCCGGGGGTAAAATTCCGGGGGTAAAAATCCGGCCCGTACATCTTCAGTTGCCTAAACGCTAGTTATATGGACAGGGGGTAAAATTCCGGTTTTTATCGCTAATCTAATTAATCACGATCTGACTATTTTCATTAGACTTCCAAATCCGCGGGGGTAAAATTCCGGCCGCGAACAAGCTTTTGGCCACTCAGGTTACTACGTCATAGTGACGTCAGCTTTGCCCAGGGGGTAAAATTCCAGGGGGATAAAATTCCGGCGACCCTAGCTGTCTACCGGTCGTTTCGCGAACTAGAAAGCAAGTTAGGTAATCGATTGTTGTTTACGTTTGTTATCTCGTCTGACATTGCTATCTTGGTAATAATTCGGACTGGCAAGCTTGACTTGTTAAGAGCCACAAAAACCAGAAAACAATATAATTATAACTAATGGAGACGATAGTCCTAAAGTTATATTTGGACAGACTGTGATGCATGTACTGTACAGGGTTGCGCAAAAGTATGTGCACCATCCCCTATTCACTTTTAGCGAATTTCCCATATAGGGAATAAGCTATTACCGTAGTTCTCATGGTAAGACCTGGACCCAGGACCGATTTTTTTTTCGTTTTGAGGTCCCTAGAGGCCAAAAACACCATCCGCTCAAATTCATATATATATATATATATATATATTGTTATTGTATACATCAATGAGGGCTACTTTAAATATTACTAAGCAAATCAAAATACCACAGTACCCTAAAAACATTTTATTTTATATTACTTACATGTTTCGGACATTAATGCCATGATCACAGTATAGTATATAACCTATTAGTTTCTTTTATTTACAAACATTATTAGATATTTCTTATTAAAGAACAGGTGATAATTTTTATGTTAAGGGAAGGAGGTGTTTTCTTTAAGATGTATAATTTCATTGAATATTACGTTTTGATTTTGAATTTGTGTCAAGTTTAGTAAATTGTCTTTGTCATTAATATGATGAGTATAAATATAAAAGTCTTCTTTTGTATTCATTTTTTCACCTTTATTTTCAACATCCAGAATGTGCATATTTTTATTCATTTCTGAGTATGTATGGTCGGTCTGAAGTATATGTTCGGCGTATGAGGATTTTTGTGTTGTCATATTGTTTGATCTGATTGCCTGTATATGCTCTTTGTATCTGACTTCGAATGTTCGACCTGTTTGACCAATATAGTATTTTTCACAGTTGTTACATGATAATTTGTAAATTCCTGATTTCTTATATACATTTGGTGGGTTTTATATTTATACTCATCATATTAATGACAAAGACAATTTACTAAACTTGACACAAATTCAAAATCAAAACGTAATATTCAATGAAATTATACATCTTAAAGAAAACACCTCCTTCCCTTAACATAAAAATTATCACCTGTTCTTTAATAAGAAATATCTAATAATGTTTGTAAATAAAAGAAACTAATTGGTTATATACTATACTGTGATCATGGCATTAATGTCCGAAACATGTAAGTAATATAAAATAAAATGTTTTTAGGGTACTGTGGTATTTTGATTTGCTTAGTAATATCTAATATATAAAATTCTCGTGTCACAGTGTTTGTCTGCAAACTCCTCCGGAACGACTTCACCGATCGTTATGAAATTTGGTGTGTTAATTCTGTAGGTATGCGAATCGGACGTAAACTATTCCCCGTTTCGAAATTCTTAAAAGGGCTCCGCCCCAGTGGCTCTGGAGTTTCCCATGTTAACCTTATGAGAAATGGAATTAATGAATCTTAACAGCTGTTTCAATTAAACAAGTTGGTTCTGTTCTATGATGTTCAATAGCATTAAAGTTACAAGGATTACCAACAGGGTGCAGCACTATTATTTCTTTTACATTTATGACAACAGCTAATTTGCAACCAAAAGGTGAGTGAGCGTAGCGAACGAACTTCAACCTGGAGGCGAGTTAGCGTAGCGAACGAGCTAACCTGAAGGCAAGTGAGCGCAGCGAACGAGCTCCAACCTAAAGGTGAGTGAGCGTAGCGAACGAGCTCCAACCCAAAGGGAGCTCCAACCTAAAGGTGAGTGAGCGTAGCGAACGAGCTCCAACCCAAAGGTGAGTGAGCGTAGCGAACGAACTTCAACCTGGAGGCGAGTTAGCGTAGCGAACGAGCTAACCTGAAGGCAAGTGAGCGCAGCGAACGAGCTCCAACCTAAAGGTGAGTGAGCGTAGCGAACGAGCTCCAACCCAAAGGTGAGTGAGCGTAGCGAACGAACTTCAACCAGGACGTGATTGAGCGATGCGAACGAGATCATCTTGAAAATTAAACGTAACGGTCCTTTCTTTCCATCGGTCTGTCTTAGGGGAAACCTATAACTTAGGCGATACGAAGTTCGCCGGGTCAGCTAGTATATATATATATATATATGTGTGTGTCCGTTAGCGCGATAACTCGAGCAAAAATGATCCGATTTTGATGAAATTTGGTACAAACGTATAAACCTACGTTTATTCGAACGAGTTCGCGAACCAGCATGATCGGGCCATGGGAACGGGGGCTTATGGGGGCTTTTATGGGGTAAAAATGGGTTTTTCCAATTTTTGACCCAAAAAACATAAAATTTTGCAATTTCTTTCCAAACTATTTTGTAGAGCTTAAAAAAACAAATAATTTAGTATATTGAAGCGTTATAATGCGCCTAATGGTTACGGAGAAAATTCCAAAAAATTGTTAATTTAAAATTCCCATGTTATTCTTATGGAGAATAAGTAAACTGTTGTAGTTTGCTTGTTTATTAACATATTTTGCCCAAATTTGGAAAATGTTTTTATTTCTTACTAACTATTAACATTTTACATAAAAAACACTTTTACCCTCCCTGTTGCAGCAAACCTAAGTATGTGTTAAACTGATTCTTTTTAAATAGACAATAAATGTGGTATTTTTAAGGAGACATTTTAGTGTTAATCCAATCAGGCAAATGGAAATTCGCTTAGTCTGCAGGTTTGCTGCGGCGGGGGTATTTAATGGGTTACGCCAGGAAAATCACACTCTGGGCACCTTTATATGGCATAGGCCTACATGTTTGTTTACTTTAATTGAATTTCCCATACGGAGGATGAGCTTATTGTAGGGCTCATCTAAAGGTTATAGACAAAAAAGATCTAAAGGTTATAAGACGAGTTAAAAATTTTGATGTTATTTGGTACAAAAGTGTAAATCTATAGTATCATAACAATATTATGTCTTCATATTCGGGAGATCTGACTATCAGACAGACGGACTCAGATGAAGTTTGTACGGTCTCTTTCCAGGGGCGACCCCAGGAATAATTTTTTGGGTAGGCCTGACAAGGATCAAAGACGCTAATTCAACATATATTCAATTGTTGAATATATGTTATTATTAGGATAATATGTTATAGGATAGGATTATGTTATATTAATAATATAATAATATATAAAATCTATGATTCTCTTCTAATCTGAAGGCTGCTGGTGCAATTCCAAGCAAGATTGAAATTTGCCATTGGACTATCAATTAAAGATGCTATATCCATCTAAGGTTGACATTAGGCTTACATATTAAAATGTCTAGGGTTTGGACCATCCCTTTACAAAAAGATTAAAAATACCATTGACGTTGATGAAGGTAGAATAAAAATTAAAATACAAACTTCATAGACGATTAGTCTGACTTTCATAACTATTAATTTGATAGTATTATTTTCCAATCTCTTTTAGCTCATCATTTCCTACAACTGGACAAACCACATCACGCATAGTTTCTCCAAGCTTGTGGTGGGACTTTCCTAATCCTTGTCTAGCAACAATAACAAAAATGCCCTTAGAGGCTGAAAATACAAGGAGTCACAGCTAAACATAAAACAAATCATTAGTACAACCTTGCTGACCTGTGACCAGGAAGCAAGGCAGAATCTGGAATGTAATCAATGTCTCATGAATGAAAGCAAACGTGTACACAAATTATTTAACCACTTTAAAATAAAGCAATGGATGGAAATATGCAGAGTGTCCCATAATACTCCCCCCTCCCCCACCGGTTGATTTTGGAACGGCAGTATATATATTTAACCGAGATTCGATACACGTTACTAGGGTACACATAATTTTAAAGAGCTTTAAAAAGGAAATAATTGCAGCAAATCTGACGAACATCCAAACAGTTTTGGCAAGAAACATTAGACGTTAATATAACTGGAACTTTACAATCCATAACTTTTATTTTTTTCATGGCATGGCTGTATATTTTCAAATAACCTTCAGTACACGTGACCAGGGTGATGTCACACACTTTTTAACATAATTTTGAATTTCATCACCCACCCCCAAATAGAGGTAGCTAGTGGATTTTGATTTTTTTAAATACCAACCCCAAATCATATTAAAAGGTGCGTAACATGACCAGAAACAGTTTGTTTCATTCAAGTTGGGCTATTTAGGTTCAACTACAAACCAACAATCATTTACACAAGACCAAGTATGCTGTGGGACAAAAAGAGAAATAATAACACAAATATACAAATGCTTATAATCTTTATTGCATTGAATTTGTATACTATCTTGTATGCGCTTATCTCATTATACTGGTAACTAACAAAATACTAGCGTCAACAATATAAATATCTCATCACACATTTCTAGTTGAAAGCTGATAACAATTTAAGCTTTTCCTTATGTTGGTCTGGCTCATTATGACTTTGGTTTTCTTAAATGACTAAAAATGTTTGTCTCATTGTACTACTCAATTTTGAAACACTGCACTTCTTGAAGATCTACAAACTAGCTGGATGTACAAGAAGAAATAGCATCTAAGGTGGAATTCCTAATTTTATAAAAACACAATAGTAAAAAAAATACAAAAAAATATTTTTACAAAAGATAAACCCTTTGGATAATTTAAACTGACCAAATAAATGTGTTATATTTGTTCAAACCCGTTGCACACTACAAATGTGATACCTACTACTTTTCAGTAGTACTGGCCAAGAGTTGTTGGGGACCATGGATGTTTATAACATAGACAAATCTAGTTTCAGTTTGCGTTAAAAACATTGTAGGTTTTATAGACCTATCTTTATATTTACAGACACTAGAGAGAGATGTAATTTATTTTGTCAATGGTTGAGTTTAAGCTTAAGATGGGCTACAAATTACAATGATGGCATTCTCAAAGCTAAACATTGTGCCAATGGCGGGGTTTGATAGAAGTACCACACAATATCCACCAGACCAGCACAGTTTATGGTATAAGAAAACTAAGTATATTGTGAAACTAACTAAAAAAATTAAAACTTCACTAAAAAATATTAAAATTTTTCATTTTTTTTAGTGTATAAATAGTTAGCTTTTTTTAAACATGAAATGAAACATTTGAGAGCAGCAATTACTGTTCATGCTCATAATTCACATAAGATCTTTCCTACCACCATAATTAGCTTATCATAACACACAGATTAACTTTTTAGTTGTACTGTATATAAAATGTAGTTTACGTTATGTTTGCATTTGCTTTTTTAGAGTAATTCATCTTATTTGCTTACGGGTGTGGTTGTTGTAGAAACGACAACAGTGAAAACAGCTGATTAGCGAGCAGGATTGATACATCCCCCTCTAGAGCGTAAATGACCTATTTTGCATACTGTTGACAGATGTGGCAATGTTATCATTTCCATGCGGTGGTAGAAAAAGAAAACATATATATCACTGCTGGTAAATTCTTACTCTTTCTTAATTGTTATCAAACGTACATTCTCAACATCAGCAGTACATGCTCTGACATCAATCAGATAGTGAATTTGTTTTATGAATGAATCAGTTAGCGACAACAAGCTTACACAGATATATTTAGCTAAATGTAAAATCCATTTAAACCCAGTTACTTCCCAAACCTATTTGCCCTTGGCTGTGGAATATTTTTAGTTTGTTTAGGTTCGCTGTTTTCTCTTTGGTGGTCTGAGCCTTATTTTCCTTATTGACAATTTTGCAGATAAGCTGCTTATACTACACCATCTCAACTCCATCTAGCTTCTATATCTTTCCTATTGATTAAATACACATTCTTAGTCATGTAGCTTAGATAAGCTTGACATTTCTTGGCACCATTTATACAAGTTTTTTTAAACCCGATTTTCAAACACATTTTTAGTCTTTTAGTCTCTTATTAGTTTTACTTATGGTCATCCGCTTTCGTCTTACTTTCAAAATTGTTTTTAACTTAAGAAAAAAATGTAAAAATGAACCGTAAATTTCTATAATGTCAATAGCTCTAGAGTCTTGAATGATGTATCTGATGGATTTTTTATCTTGTTAAAAAGCAACAATCTAAAAATAAGTAGAATTTTTAATTATATGTCTCGCTAATTTTTAAGTTTTAAGACTTTTTGTTGGAAATTTCTAAATAACTAAATTACCAAAGAATTACTACCAAATATGAAAGCATCAATAGCTGTACACTACCTTTTTTCAATAAATATATAATCTTCTATAACTTTAGTATGGCGTTTTAAAGACAAAGATCGTAAAAAAATTGACAAATATCAACCATGAATAGACATGGTCTAACCAAGATTAAATAACTACTCTACAGTAAATACAACCAAAGTAAGTAAAAAGCACATAAACATTCGCTCTCTAATAACTAGTCAATAGATCATTTAACTTGATGGATAGACTTAAATTACTATTAGGACTTAAAAAACATTTTGAAGCTGAAATGACAAAAACTACTGCATTACTATTTACTAAAGCAGTGAAATAAAAATTGCTTCAATAGTGATAACATTGGTTCAGCATAAATGTATACCTTACAATCTTTGGCAGTAAATAGGAAAAATATCAAACTTTAACTGTAAATACAAATGTTATTCCCTTGACCTTGTGGGAAACAATACTTTTTTTTACCTAGAACTGCTAGATATATTATTAATCAAACTTTATTTTGAATCAAAGTACTTGAATAGTCTTGAACTGTTTATGACTGTTTTATAAATAACAAATAAAATGCATGATTAAAATGTTCATTATTCTTCCAATGGATATATTTGTGTAATCTTATAAATTTGTAGCACCAACAGAAAATGTCAAGTTCTAGGTTCAAACACTGATAAACTGGCCTCAAATAAAAAATTAGTGACCAAACAAAATTTCTTCAACACATGTTGCATAGCTATAACGAAAGTCAAAGATTGCTTCATTGTGTTTTAGGTCTTTACAATATTTGTGCCCTAACATTTCTGTAGCCTATCTAAAAATCAACACTTAAACTATGCATCACAATTGACTTAAAATTAACAATGTCAATACAAACTTACAAAGATAAAGTATCCTTAAGGTTTAATTTAGCAAAATCTTATAAATTGGTACAATTTTCAAATATTCCTTATGACATTATAAGGATTATTGCTTATATTTGATATGTTACAAAATGATAAACTATCATTTGGACGAGAGTCAAAGCTGGTAAATAGCTAGCACTCATTTTACAATTAAATACAATAAAATAAAATTGTAGCACAAGCAATAATTATTGAATGGTCCTTGAAAACATACACAAACAAAAGTTTTGTATTTTCTGATAGCCTATAGCAAAATCGATGTATTGTATGAATGCTGACAAAACATCTAAACTCTGATCAATAAAAAATTATATTCTTACAAAAAGAAAAAAAAATATAATAATAATAAATTTGCCAACCTGGCTTCAAAGCTTACAACCATAGACAAAAAGAACTAAATATAGACCGTCAGCTGTGCTGCGGTTACCATAGGTTCTGGCGCACACTGCTGGGAGCGCCATGTAGTTACGGTGTACGCGCTACGTAAACTACACGGCGCTCCCAGTGGTGTGCGCCAGAACCTATGGTAACCATGGTAATGCTGAGTCTATATTTAATTATTTTTGTCTTTGTTACAACTTAGTTAGTATCTTATACATGCAATATATTTCAAATAAATACTAAACAACAAATTTAACAATTCTTATTGTGTTTCATTATAATTTTTATCCCACACTAATTCACAAAATATCAGTAAGAATTCACGATTTACAAGTGCTCGTATCGTTAAGGTCAACTTTTAAAAACTTTTCATTATGAGTCATTAATAAAAATAATCAAATAAATAAATAATTGAAATATTGAGGTAAAATTTATTACATTTAACCAAAAAACTTCACTTACTTGTTCTGCAACTAGTAGAAAACAACCTCTTCTTGTAGTTAGATTAACTTATAACCTAAAAGTAACAACCAGACAGGAACGTACATTAGCCTACAGAGATCTGGTCAGGTACTAAAAGCGAGCTCAATGTCGAGTGAGTTAAATCATGCCGAAGCCTTCCGTGCCTTCACTGATGGCCAGCAGTAGTGCCTTCTCAAACTGCTCGTAACTTTCATAATCTGGTAAACACAGCTGGTTGAAACTGTAACAACAATTACAACGTGTAAATCGTGTATAGTGTGTGAAAAAATATTTAGGGTAAAAACACAAACAAATATAATCTACTGCCTTTAAATGGGATCAGCCTAAGTTAGTGACTTACCACGTGTGGGCGGTGGGAAGGTTTCCAAAAGTTGGTGCTGGTGTCAGTTGAAAACGAGGAGACAACTCTTTGAAACCCCCTGGTGGCAGTTGTGATGAACCAGTGGTAAACTGAAGCAGCCTGAAAAAATGGGAATTTAAATGGTTGCAAATAGTTCTTTCTTTAACCTGGATATCAAAACATAGCAAAATTCCATTTAAACCTACTTTTTTAAACCAGAACCCAGGTTAACCAAAACCACAAAAAGAAATTCAAATTGGTTGGAAAATTAGCTAGGCAAAGGAAACTGTCCACCGTGGCACAAGTAGTGGGCCCGAGTCTTTGTAGCAAAAACCAATGTGAAAATAAAGTTCAGAAAACAATTAATTGGGAATTATTTTAAGAAATACGATTTTGTGTATAGTGTAGAAGATCTTTTAGACATAATTTTAAATAAAACACTCGTAGCAACAACAACAACAAACATGACAAATTAACACGTAACAATAATATTAGATCCCTTTTTGAGCCAACAAAATTCATCATCCTCTTCGGCAAACGTGGCAAAATATTTAACATATCCCAAAGTCATAGGGATATCATCATCTTCTCCCGCAATCACAGGATTGTTGTTATCTGCGACAGCGGCAAACTCCTTAATATTTGGTTAACCATCATCATCGTCTCCCGTGAATGTAGAAAAATATTGAAAGATTGAAAGTCTCCCAAGGTCATTGGAACTTAATCATCGTCTTCCGCAGTTGCGGGAAAATCTTGAACAAGCTACACCTCAGATAATTCAACCTTTTCACTGTCCCGCCCAAGGTCCCAGTCCTGTAGGTGACGGATTAGTGGCGTTGTACTGTACAATAATACAAATACTGTATAAGTAAAAAAAATTAAAATAATTTTTTAAACTCTATCTATCAACACTCTGTGTGACAGTGTCATAAATAACAATTTGAAAAATTTAAACAAAGCAAATACAAACAATGTAATTGACTAATTGTCTTATATTTCCATATAAAAAAAAAACAAAAAAAAAATATATCTCACAAGCTTAACAAGGTAACTTCCATAACCTGGATCACAGAGAACTATGGATTTAAAGATTGGGAGTAAGACAGAAATCTTCTCAGGCAAATAAAAGTATAGAACAATTTCTAAAATTTCACACTCATTGGACGTACAGATTGGTAATGCACATATAACAAACATACGTTTGGTTTGATATTGATTCTGTGTTGACTATTTACCTTGCCATCTCCTCATGAGTAAAGTTACTAACAGCTGTCCAGAACCAGTCCAAGACACGACGGAACTCCGGACTGGAACCATTGATGATGTGGTGGGTGCGGAAGTCAGCAATACTGTACTCCCCGGTACCACAAAGCAACAGCTGAAGACAAATATATAACAGTTTAGAGGGAAAAATCAACTTTGCACTCCACAAACACATAATTTGTAACCAAGAGGGTGTCCGAGCATACAGGGGCTTATAACATCACACTGGCATGAAATACAACCAAATTATTGAGTCTGAATAGAGGAACTATGAAGCTTAAAGCCTATGTTTTAAAAATGGAAAAATGTTATTAAAGCTTTTGCTAACCTAGATGTTTCATGTTTAAGAATTGGTTTCGAGTAGAGATCTCTAGTTTACTTTGATCTATTTTATATAGACGATAACAATTTTTTTACCGAAACATTAAGAATGAAATTGGCGTGAGCTAGGTAAATACAAAAAAACGATAATCATACAAACAGGACTAACAAAATTTAAATAAAATGCAAAATATAAAATTTAAAAACTGAAAAATTACACTTATGGTTTATTTCTCATTTCTCCTTTCTGAGAATTATTTACCACCTTAAAAGCAGTATTAAGGGCAATATGAATATTGGTTTACTTAATGAGAATTCGAGTTAAAAACATGGCCCAAAAAACCTTATTTTAGGATGATGGAAAAATATTCATGCTGGCCAAATAAAATGTTACAAGCGTTAACAATCTACTGAGTAGCCAGCCTACTTATTATTCTTAAATAAGTAACTTATTATTGCTCAGCTCACTGATCTAAACACTACCAATCCAACCCAACCAAATAACTCAAGATAGAATTGTGTTCAAGATATTGGTGTTTTACTCTACCTCAAAATCCTGGAAAAGCGTGAAAAATCAGGAAATGTTCATGCCTGGAAAAGTTAGGAAATATTCAGGGAATGTTGAATCAAAGTAGAATACCACATCTCATAATCTTTGTATTATTATTTTACTAAAACATAAAGTAAAATAAAATAACTAACTAATAATATGAAATAAAATTTTCCAACAGTTTTAAAAATGACTACTACAATGATTTTAGACTGAAGTATAGCGTTTAGATGATACCATAACTCCACACAGTAACCTTTCCCACTAATAAAATAGCTCCAACCTCATAGCTCTAAGTAACAAGAGCAGAGATTGATATACCTCTCCTAAAAATGTATAAGATCACCATAGGCATAATTTTGAATAATTTAAGTGGCAATCGCTGTTTGTGAACCAATACAGTGCTGTAATTTGCACTGTCAATGATTTAGCCTATTCAATTGTTAATAAATAAAAAATAAACACACACACAGCTAGTGCGGTGTGGTAGTGGTATTACACTATCAGTTGGAAATCAGTTATCTAATCTAATTAGACAGCATTTGTGAATATTGGATCATAAACACAACAAAAAACATATCAACGTCCCCAGATATAGAAATAAACTACCATAAACATTTTGAAAACAAAGAAAAGTAACAATGAACACACTGCTATTCCTAAAAAAACATTACGGAAGTATAGCAACAGTGATCACCTCAAGTTCATTCTCATCAAAGATGCTGAGAAGATTGTCGGGAATGAGGTCGTTCAGTCCTCGTAGGAAACACTCTATCTCTTCCTTAAGACTGTTGGCCAGCCTGTATTGTGCCAGGGCGTCTAGGTACTGGTGCTTAGTGGTGTTGTGCACCCTGGTCGCTGCGCCGTTGGGAATCAGCTCTACGATCTGATAAAACAACAGAAAAGGAAAACGTAGTAAATTCTGAGATTTTGACATACCAACAAGAGGTCATATAGTTGTTTTTGTTCAATTGAAAATTTGAATTCTTCTATTTGTTGAGTGAATAGAAAAGTACCGCGGCTATAAATGGGCCCAGGGGCGCAAGAGTTTTTTGTTTTATTGGGTACGCAAGCAACAGATAATACTGTATTTGGAAAATATCTTAAACTGCGCGACAGTAGGCCTATAGGCTAATCCTCCTCACTGCAGTTTCCATGCATGACTCAAGTACTCATTTCCTAAGTAAACTAAAGTACCCAACACACCTTTGTAAGTTGGCCAAGATGATCGTAGTCTTCTTCTACAAAGTACAGTTCCATGTCCTCTACATCATGTTCCAGGATGTACTTTATCTTGCTGAGGTACAAATCTGGGTCGTCCTGCTCGAAATACTGTCAACATAACAATTTTAATTTAATTCAACTACTGATTTAAATTTGAAAATATGGAATCTGTTATCAATTTTTCATTTGTCCACTAACCCAATTTTAAAGGGATTTATAAACAAAATTATGAAATTGCATTTTAAGAGCCTTTTTTACCATACCTTACATATTTAAGATAATTTTAAAAATACAAAAGTGATGAACATGTAAAAATAAAAACATGTTTCAATGTATTGCTGAACAAACAGTAACAATTGGTTAGCTTACCTTGTAATGCACTCTGAGGCCAATGAGTTGAGCGAGGAAGGATCGAGTGAATCGAGCTCGGACAAGCTGTCTGTAGCCTCCACCGAGCGCACTCTCGTACAAGCACTTACCCACCACCCGGCCGGCAAACTCGTAATGTTTCAGCTTCAGATTGGGTGGCCGCTTGGCGTTGGGGTGAACCAGGGCCTGAGCAATAAAGGTCAACAGTAACTAACAGGATGAATGAAGCAGCTGCTTTTTACCATCTATTTTTCCTATCCTACCCTCACAATAGGATGTTAGGCAAAGCTCAGAACCACTTTCACATTACTGCAGGTTATGGCTAGATGTATTTATCACATAGATAAATCTATTGGTGATTGGTGACATTTGAACCTGACACCTCGAGACCAGAGCTTTGAGACTAGACTACCTTGCTCCCTCAATTTTCCCCTTAAGTAAGATGTCTTTTGATTATGCAATAGTAAAATACCTAAACAGCAAAATTTATAATGTTTACCAAAAATCTTTCACCCATTCTGTAAGTCTTGAAATAAGTTCACAAAATAAAACAAAAACCAAGCTTTAGAAATTAAATACTAAACAACATGGATGTGACAAGATAGCATTTTGATCCAATACAAATGATAAGACCAAGGGATGTGTGATAAAAAGGATAGCTGTGTTGGACTCAAGAGAGACTCGAATCTTTTTAGGTAAGCTAGCTGAAATCTATCCTTTAAAAAAACCCACTTGATTTTCATGAAAATGTAACAAAATATGTCGGTAACTATAATAAAAGTTATCCGTCTGTTTCAGTTGAAATACAGTAATTTACCGTGGTATGAAGATAGCTGTGTACTATTGTAAACAAGTTCTGTAGTTTACGGAGTTGTAAATTAATTAGACGTGCTCACACAGGTGATAAGAAAATACTTATCTAAAAAGGGATCATGATCATATGCATTCTTTGAGCTATAAATAAAGATGTGGATTAACAATAGAATGTAACAGGTCAAGAATTATTGTATTTATATTTTTTGACAAAAGCAAAGAAATGTATTTACAGAACAAGAAAAAATGTTCTAAAAAAATGTGTTTGGTACTACAGCAGAACTCCAATCATACAAATCAATTGGGACCATAACACTTTTGAATGGTTGATAATTGGGATGATTGAATTTTGTTAATGGAGACAATAAAAAACAAACAGCAAGAGAGTTTTTAGATTTTTCCGCAATCATGGGTTCTGTCTTCTTTAGCAACAATTCTTAGAACTGTAGTTTTTTTTTTTTTTTTTACAATTCTTTCTGTATGCTATTCGGAAGATCGGCGATTCGGGGAGTTGGAGTTTGGATAGGTAGTTTGAGTTCTATTGTATATCAAAGCATAAGGATTCTAGAGGAGTATATCTATAAGGAGCATAAAAAAATTGTGGTTGAATTTGATTTTATTCAGAGTTGGTTCGTTTATCTGGCATAGCTTGCTCCTGAGGTGGCCAAATGTGAGGGGATGTACTCTATTTAACAAACTGGAATTCATATTTTAGACTGATAATTGCTACAAGTGTAACTGTTATATTTTACCTGTTGGTTATCAGAGAATCCTTTGAACAGTTGGTTCTTTGGGTCGAACAGAGCGGCACAGATAAGTTGGAACCACTCTCTCCTGAGTCCGCCCCAGTCAACACCTGAAACATTCGGTTCAAACAAAGTATGGTAATGTGGTTTTAAAACAAGTAATATAACCTAAAAGGTTTCACCTAAAAGATTAAGTGTTCAAAGAAACCGTTTGCGGATAGGTACATACTAATTTTGATGGGTCAATTTTTCTAAAAGGCAGATCAGTGCCACCCCCATAATTGCTGCAACAGGTCCTTTAATCGTGTTTCTTAGTTTGGCAAGGTTATCTCGTTTCGGGGGTACATACCAACCATCCTTTATGAATCCCAAAGATAAACTTAACAAGGCAATGTTAAATTTGGTGACCACACAAAGTAACCTATCAATTATCAACCATTGAGATGGGGACGCCCCCTAGGTGCGTATTTTAACCCAAATATGAGTGAAGGATGAGTGTAGAATGGTGTGTGATGACCTGTGTAGCTTTTTTACTGACTAAGATCAGCGGTTTTATTAGTCAGGATAATCTATATATTAATTTGAAACTGTTTTTCTTTGTCACAGCTATTTAGAGAGAACGGCTGGGCGTAGAAACTAGGTAGAGGTGTCTAAAGAAAGGTCTTGGTCTGTAGATGAGCCATCAAAAGAGAAACATGGCGAATTCCCTTGGGGCTCTGCCCCCGTGGCCTTTAAATTCCCATCCTATGTTATTCCTATGTTATATGGAGGAAAACGGGGTTTTTGTCACAGCTAATTTGAGAGAGTGGCCATCAAAAGAGGAAAGAGGTAAATTCCCTTGGGGCTCTGCCCCAGTAGCCATTAAAGTTGCCTCTTCAGATTTGTTTATATTACGACCATATGCATAATTCTACACTACTTTTTAATGCAACAGCTGTTAATATTTAAATTGTGATTTATTGAATTTGTCAAAATGAAGTACAGTATTTGCAATGGATTTTTCTGATTTTAAAATTGATTTTTCCTACAGTCACCCGACAAAGTTGGCTTCCTTGTACTGTTTATAGTACAGAAAGCTGCTAATTGCTGCATATTTATACTTTGCCGTACGGTTTATACTTTGCCGTACGGTTTATACTTTGCCGCACATCAGGATTCCAACGAAACAACACAAAACAGCGTGGTTCCATTATGCACGTAATCCGTGTACGCTTGGAAATAGGTTGGCAACACTTAAAAATAATTATACTATGAGCAGCTGATTGACTATTATAACTACGATTTAACCTGTCATTTCGTGTTTATAGTTTCGGTATTTCTGAACTTTCTGGACTTCCTACGTCCTTTCTGAACGTTTTTAAAACCTTCCTACGATCTTAATAAACAAGAAAATACCTTTTAAGCAATTTTTTTAGGCGCTTAAACCACTTCAAATTACAAAAACATACGGAACTATATTCTCAAAACGTGGAGCACATTTCTTGCCGAGGAAAAATAGCGGAGTGATATGGACCGCGGGTACTACTTTCTCTAGGGCACCATTTGTGTTGTCAGCTGAACCTAAAAACGTGTTGCATAGTGTTTGAAAGACTAATTATTTATATGCTTTATAGTGACTGTAGGAAAAATATAATGTGTAACACGAGTGAAAAAGGCCTTTGCTCGAGATCATTCCACACTCGCCTGCGGCTCGTGCGTAAACATTGCTCTCGTGTGCAGCAAAGTGCCACTTTCACCACTAGTTACACAAATAACTATTCTTCTGCATCGTGTCATGTTTTGCAATATAATGTTCTATTACCAAATTAGTGGAAAATCCTAATACCGCAGTAACTTTTAAAATTATTTCTTATGGAGTTAACTTATATCTATTGTATGGGTTGGTTTCTGCCTTTTTACCACTTCTTGGAGATTGTAGGTAGGTGAGATATTCTTTGGCATATTGCATCTGTAGACGAAACTTGGGTTGGTGTAATTATTACAATGGAAAAGAGTGAAAAATCCTGGACAATTTGATATAGGCCTAAAGTAAAACTGAATTAAAACTGTGCTACATTTCTTGAGCAATCATTGAAATAACCGTTTTGCAAACAATGGAAACATAGAAAATGTCATAGAACACAACCAAGTAAAAGAAATAGAAATAATGTTTTTTTTACACTAAAAACACTAAAAAAACAAGATCAGCTTTTTGAAAAAAGATAAGATATTTACAAAAGATTTTGATTAGGGTATATCTAACTGTTGTGTAGATCGTGAGTATTTGAGTCGCCTGTAATGCTTCGCAATTGCTCGAATTCGAGCAACAGGTACACTAGTTTATTTAAAGCCCAATGATCAGGAGCAGTTGGGTCCAGTTTCAAACCATCAAAAAGCTACTGACTTTTCTCACGATCGAACCGGCGACCTTTCTATTACTAGGCGAGCACTATAACCACTCAGCTACCCAGTCAGTTTAAATCTATGCAATTGGGGCTCTTCCATCCAATGTGTGCTTCACAAATAATGATGTCACATGTTGTAGAAAAACTGTTTGATTTGCACTTTTTTATTTATTTATAGCTTAATTTTTTAGGGTCAGTTCAAGAGATGAAATACAATAAAGTACTAAAACAACAATATCCATTTTGAAACACAAGTAAAACTAAATTGAAAGAGAAATCAGCAATAAAATCAGTCAAAACAGAACCAAACAGGCTGGACAAGGGGATTGTGAATTGGCTGTTTGCAAAGCTCTGGAAAAATCAGTGTACGTGTAAGTCATATGCAATTTGACGTTCGAACCATCAAAGTTCAAACGAAATAGATTTGAACGAGAGGGAGTTTACTAACTAAGTCTTTGGTAGTTTCAAGTAAAAGTTTACCTTGTTCTCCTTGAAAAGTGATTTCAAAATTTCTGCACCAGTCACTGACAGAAAATCCCTTAGTTGCTTTCATAGACTGCAATCAGAATAGCCTAATATGATTACTAATAGATATTCCAGTAAACACTAGAAAACGTTTAATTTAAATGAACTTTGTATTTATAAGAGGTTTTACTCTTGAAAGTTCATCCATGCAATGCTATCTATTTTAAATCTGATTGAAACACTAATTAGTATGGAACATTATTTGAAATTAAAAAATTTTCAACATAAAGGTCTTGCCATGTTACTCACAAAAACATTCATCATTTGAACATTTATTACATAAAATATAGAATAGCAAATGCTATTGATTGAGTGCAGATTGTACGTAGAGTATTATATACTACAGCAAAATTCTAACAGTAAAAAAAGCTGTTCATTAGATGATTAATCTTTAAATGTTAACAATATGTCAAAATATGTTGTAGAAAGTGAAAATTAGTCAAATAAATATTTTATCAAGCATTGAATTAACAATTGATTAATGACATTAATTAATAAATAGGTTATGAACCTTAAAGTTGTCAATCCTATTACAGTCTCAGGCACAGTTTCGGAATATCAAAGTTTCATTTTGAAGCTTTGTTTTTGTGAAATGAATTGTACTCATTGTTGGCCGCATACATACAAAAAAGAGAAAAAAGCTCCACCTCGGGAAACCTGCAGACAATGTTAGTTTCCATTTGGCTGATTGGATTTTAATTCAAATATTTCTTTAACATTTTTAGATTTTTTAGCTATTAAAATAACATTAAGTTAAATGAGTACCTACTTAGGTTTGCTGTCACAGAGAAGATAATAAAGCGTGTTTTTAATACAAGTCGTTTGAAAAGTAAAGGATTCAAACTCACAGACTCCAGTAGTTTATCCCGGTTGATCCTCATTGCCAGCTTCTCATGATAATGTTTGTGATGAAACCGACGAACTTCGTGATAGAAGAAGGCCTGCTTGTCCTTGAATGTTTCTGAACCTCCTGTAACATTTTTAATGTTATATTTATTTTTTTTTCACATACAAAGAAATTCGAACTATGATCAATTGAAATTAATACAATATTTCAATTTTCAGGAAAAAATGAGCTGTTGCATATATGTGGCAATTGGGCTATTTAAATAAAAATATTATAATTTTTACTATTGTTTATGCTATATACCGCGCGTTGCTAATATGCAACATTGCAAAAGGTTATCAAAAATATAAAAAAACAAAACAAGAATATATAATTTACTAACACGATTGTAGAGTATTACAAAGTAAATGATCACTGTTTAGTAGGTTTTTGCCCGTGATATGCGTGTACTGTTAACTAGGTCACAGCCAGTCTATGCGTAAGATTAAATTGTATACTTCGGTCCAAGGCAATGATCGCGTCATCGCATATATGCGATCCTCGGTAGCGAATGTGTTATACGATTATTTTGTCGATGAATATTTTCAATGCAGAGGAAAGTTGAAGAATCCGTTGAGTTACACTGATGATATAGAAATCTCATGATCATAGAAATTTCAACATAAATCTGATGTAGAGACAGTTTCATCAGAAATAAAATAAGTATGCAAAAACAAAAAGCCTCACCGATATTTTTGAGCAGAAAGTGAGTGAAGGTGGCTGCGATGACATTGCGATCCTTGGCCATCAGCTCAACCTTGGGTTGACAACCGTCGTCGATGACGAACGCTGGCAGTGAACAGCGGTTGTCACTCAGGAACTGAAACTGAAGATCACTTTAGTTGAAGCTGAAGCTGTCAATAAATCTAAAACACCTCCTTGGTCATCAGCTCAACCTTAGGATGACAACCGTCGTCAATGACAAATGATGGTACATTGGAGAGACTGTGAACTTCATTAACCGCTTCCAAAACCACATATCTGCGAGGAGGAACAACAAACTAGAAAGATAAATGTCGCATAAATGGCCACTCAATAGGAAAAATGGAGGACAGTCTATTTATTTTAAAGAATTGTAAAAAAAGGATATGTAATGAATGCTTGGGAAGAATTGTCTATTTATAAGGAAAAATGTAAAAATAGAAATAAGCTGATTAATGAACAAGTAAATTTTGACTACGTTATAATTATAAAAATGTACTGGCCGGTGCTTCCGTTAGCCAATAGGATATAAGTAGGGACACCATTTTTATTCTTGTCATTCGCCTATTGGGTCTGATGATGATTGGAGTGTCCAGTCGAAATCGATCTCCACTCACCATCTTTTATGTATATTTACCGTCTTGTGAGTTAACAGTAAAAGCATAAATATATGTTATAAGTGTTATAAGATGTTTCTTTTATTTACTTTCCGTAAATAATGGTAGTAAAAAGTGGTGTTGTTACTCAGGAACTGAAACTGATGATCAGTTCAGTTGATGTCAAAGCTTCTTCAAAACCTTAAACCTTAAACAGTAAAAAATTCCACCAATATTAATAAAGTCACTTGTGCCGTGGGTTATCAATTTTCCTCATCTGTGTTTCGATTGTGGATATTCTATTTTGGTCATCGCATTCACACTCAACTAAGAACATTGAAAGATTCCACATAAAATTCATGATACTTCTGCAAAATTGTTGACATCAACAGATCTTATGGTCTCAGGTTGTGCTCTCAGGTCTTATGGGTAAACACTAAGACACTCCGCAGTTTGAAAGTGATTCATCTTAATTAGTATTACAGCTTGAGCTTAGCTTTAAAATAAAGCTTTAGTCCCAAGAAAACAAAATCTGATTGTGAGTAAACGGAGAGTGGCATCGTTGCAGATCTAGTTAAGTTAGGTGTTTGGTGGGGTTCTATATTTTGCCTGGGCATGATTTTGGCTGTAAAAAAATATTTGTGATTGATTTAGACAATTTTTGAGCGGATATAGGGGGGTTAAATTGAAAAGGTAACGTATGACAATGTCGTTAGAGTAAAATTGTCGTTGTGTTTGTTGTGTTAAGTTTGTTATTGTTGTTGTTGTTATGTTAACGCACAAAAAGTTAGCCTTATAGTTAACCTTTGTTAAAATATTAAACTGAAGATTTTCTTGCACTTCCAGTTATAGTTCGGCCGCTTAGAAAACATCCTGCGCGCTAATGCTAAACCAATGCTGGAGGAGGTCGCTTTCTAAGCGGCCGAACTATAGTTGAGTATTCAGCAGCTCAGATCAACCTATCCAGCTGTCCTAAAAGGATTAACGCTGTACCATTAGATCGGCTTGCTCCCCAAATATTGAATTTTGGTCAGAGAAGATATTTCACATACCTTGGTGGATGGACAGAGCCTGAAGGTGACGAGACGCTTGGGTATGAACTTGAGCAGGAACTCCTTGATGGTGAGCTGTTTGGGCGACACGTACACAAGGACTTTGCGAGGTTTGCTGAGCCGTTCTCCGTGTAAAGTCAGCAGTCTCGCCTCATAGCAGATGTTATGGTTGCGAACATTCTTGTGGACCATGGCTGCATCACTGCCTGCACAATTATTATAGAATTATGGAGCTTTGATGCCAACAAATTTTTGTGTGTGGCAAAGGGAAGATAAAGTGGGGATGAGAATGTTATGGACTAGTTAGGGGTGTAAGGTGCAAAAATTGCCAAATACATTTCTGTAGATTTGACCAGAAACCTCCAGATTGCTAAGAAATTTATTTATCCAATTTGCTAATCAGTTACCCTCAGAATTCCCAATCAATATACATTATTAGGTATTAGGTACTAGTTATGAACATGAAAAGCTGCTGATTTAATTCTGGCGAGATATCAAAACATATCCCTATAATTATGGATCTATAATTAATTATAATATAAAATACCCTCGCCGCAGCAAACCTGCAGACTAAGCGAATTTCCATTTGCCTGATTTGATTTTCAATTAAATAAATTATTATTGTTACCTTACCTCTTAAGAGGATAACCTGAGGATGTGGCAGTCGCCACGAAACATGTAGTTGTCTATCTACCAACACCAAACGGATATTGTAAGGTAACAATAATAATTTAATTAATATAAAGCAATATCCAGAAGTAGGACAATGAATTCTAATTTTCAATTAAATCTATAAAGTTGGATATCAGAGATGAGCTGAGGAAGAGACTCCAACCTGACTGTACTCTTGGACGAATCCTAACTACCCACCTACTGGAGACTGGCCAACCTTGTATATGAGAGACACCGTGCGGTCGGCATTACCTGAAGCTGGATGCACGTACCAAGAAGTAAGAAGTAAGTAAATCTATTCAAATAACATTGGGTTTAACGAGTACCTAGGTTTGCTGCCTACAGGGTAATAAAGTGTGTTTTTTTGTAAAATATTAATAGCTTAGTATGAAATAAATAGATTGGCCATGTTTGATCCAAATATATGCATAAACAAGCAAACTACAAAAGTTTACTTATTCTCTATAAGAATAACATGGGAATTTTTAATTTATAATTTTCTCCATAACCAATAACCATACAAAAACACTTCAATATACTGAATTATTTGTTTTTTTAAGCTCTTCAAAATGGTCTAGAAGAAATTTGGGAAATTTTAATTTTTGAGGGTCAAAAATGAGAAAAACCAATTTTTACCCCATAAATCCCCCCATAAAACCCCGTTCCCATGGTCCGATCATGCTGGTTCCCGAACTCGTTCAAATAAACGTAGGTTTACACGTTTGTACCAAATTTCATCGAAATCGGATCTTTTTGCTCGAGTTATCGTGCTGACGGACACATATATATATATATGAATTTGAACGGATGGTGTTTTTGGCTTCTAGGGACATCAAAATGAAAAAGTAAATCGGTCCCGGGACTAAGTCTTACCATGAGACCTACGGTAATAGCTTATTCCCTATAGGGAAATTCGCTAAAAAGGTAACACTAAAGAATGCAGTAGACTCTAACAACTGATTTGGTACATATGTGAATAGGGCCCTTGTTAGATCATAGATTACTGCTTATGGATTACTAGAATCATTACAATTAAGATATCCATGAACTCTTTAACCAAGGAAAAACAACATATAAAACTGCAGAAGATGGGCATACATCACCAAAATATTAATGAACACAATTATATTTAAAGGGGAGGTGTACAGCGCAGTCATATACAGTATGTGAACAGACAATCTAGTGAACCGATGGCTTAGTCGGTAGCACAATGGACAACAAATTCATGGCAACGTTGTTGTGGAATTTACCTTGTGCGTGGAACGTATTCAGCTAAGCAAAGGGTGAGCCAGTACAGTACTACGGTGAACTGTACAGATACCGTTGATGTAAGTAGAGGCAGGTACCAAGATCGGAACTCACAACATCGCTGCCTTACGCCTGAAGTCCGTGGCGCTATCGACTGAGCTTGACGCACATCAAGTTAAGCTAAAGGGTAACCAGGTTAAGTGCTTTAAAGGGTAAATATCTTACTGGAGAGGACGATACAGTCGAAATCACCGTTGTGGAGAGTGACTCCATTGAAGGCCACTTTGGCATGGAAACATCCTTCCTTTGAGAAAGTCACTGTCAGTCGCACCCGAAGGCTGACAGAGTCATAGTCAAACGAAGTCTTCACCACCACCTCGGGGACCTCTGTCTGAAACATAAATATCATTAAAGAGGTGGTTTTCCTGCTTGTATCTGTTTTATTACCGTACAGTATATAGATTAATGAGAATTCATTAGTTTTGATTCAAAGTATATTATTTAATTCAGATACAGTTATATAGCAAGAACCTTCAAAATATTTACAATTCAAAGTCAATAAACCAACAGATGTTAATTATAACATCTGCTTAATATTACAACATCTCTCCTTTTTAGTTGCCCTCGTATCTTTTCACAGGTTTCACTATTCTTCCAAACCTTGTTCTAACTTCTTCATTAGATTGGAGACTTGGTTGTGAATAAGAAGGATTGTTATTGTTTACAAACAACCTTGTGTTGAAAGTTGGTGTACTGGTATTTCTAGAGACTTGTCTTGGTGCTTTCTGATTACTCTGATTAGTGTTGTTGGTTTGAGAGGTAGGGGTTTTAAGTAAGCTCCGTTCATTGTTTAAGTCTATAGACGTTTTCGGAGACTGATCGTTATTTTTAGAGAAAGGAAGTGGAGTAATACTTGCTGATTGTTCAGGACTGGTTTGGCTTTTGTACGGAATCAAGTGGTATCTGTTTCGGCGGACTGTGTTTCTTTCAGTATTTACCCAATAAGATCTTGGCTCATTGGCTAGGTTTGTTATTGTACCCTGACGTTTTAGATCTTTGATCCACACTTTTTGTCCTCGTTGCAACTGGGGTAAATTCCTGGTACCGTGATGCTTATCATATTGATTTTTGTAGGAATCTCTGTATTTTTCCTCCCTCTTCTTGAAACTGGATAAGTCAGGTCTTTCAGTAAGCTTCTGTGGCAATACAGGTAAATTATCTCGTAACCTCCTGTTGAACAAAAGTTGGGCTGGGCTAAGCCCGTTGGCTGTAAGGGGTGTGTTCCTGTAGGATAGGAGTGCAAGGTAAGGGTCTTCTTTGTTCTTTCGTAAGACACTTTTAGCTATTTTTACAGCAGCTTCTGCAGAGCCGTTACTTTGATGATGCCCGGGACTGCTTGTTGTTAGTTTGAAGTTGTACTTTTGTGCAAAAACTTTAAACTCAGAATTTTCTAAGCATGTCCGCTGGGAAGCAAACTGAGTTCCACAGTCTGATCTAAGCTCGACAGGTATTCCGTGGCGACAAAAAATTGATTTGCATTTCTCTATTATCTCACTTGTAGTTAATGTTTTTAATGTTGCTATTTCAAAGTATCGACTGTAACAGTCTGTCATTACTAGAAACCAAGTCCCATCAATTTTGAATAAATCGATGCATGCTTTCTCCCATGGACGAGAAGGAATTTCAGATGTCATTAGTGGTTCATGATGCTGGGATCTAAATTCTGTGCATTTAGGACACTCATTAACTGTTCGTTCTATGTCCGAAGATATACCTGGCCACCACATGCTGTGACTTGCTCTAAGTCGGCATTTACTGATTCCAAAATGTCCGGAATGAATTCTATTTAGCATATCAAGTCTTAGGTCACTAGGGATAATGAGTCTATCTCCTTTCAGCAAAACACCTTCACAGAAAGAAATTTCGTGGCGGACTGGGAAGTAAGGTTTTAATGCATTAGGCAATTTGGATTTGTCCGGCCATTCAGAGGAGCAAAATTGCTGAATTCTTCGGAGAATCGGGCATGATTTTTGTGCATCACATATTTTCTGGATTATAGCATCGGTTGTACCCAAATTTGTAATTACCGAACTAACAGCAAATTCAACTTCTTTTTCTAAGTCGTATGATTCTTTAGAAGGCAGAGGGCTTCTTGAAAGACAGTCGGCTGTCGCAAGATGTTTTCCTGGAGTGTATGTAACTCTATAGGAGTATCTCATAAGTCTCAGACGTAGTCTCTGAATACGGGGTGTTAGGTCATTCAAATCTTTGTTTGTTAGAATACTAACGAGAGGTTTGTGGTCTGTTTCAATGATTATGTCTTTGCCAATTATGTATTGTTTTAGTTTATCACAGCTCCAGGTTACAGCAAGGGCTTCTCTTTCTATATTGGAGTAGTTTTTTTCGCTTTCAGTAAGTGTTCTTGAGATGTATGAAATAGGTTTCCATTTGTTGTCTACTTGTTGCTGAAAGAGTACTCCACCAAGACCTGTTTGAGATGAGTCAGCAGACACCATGGTAGGGCGGCTAGAATCATAGAACGCCAGTTGGGGAGCGGAAGCAAGAAGTGACTTTATCTCTTCAAAGGCTATATTTTGTGTTTTGCCCCAAACAAATTCATTTCTTGTACTTAAAAGGTCTGTAATTGGTTTAAGTATTTGACTTTTATTTGGAATATATTTTCCTACAAAATTTACCATTCCAATAAATCTTTGCACACCTGCTATGTTAGTAGGAGGAGGCAATTTTGTTATGGCTTCCACCTTTGATTCATCAATTTTGATACCATCCCTTGATAATTGGTGGCCTAAAAATGTGAGAGACGTTTGTGAAAACTGGCACTTGCCTTCATTTAGAGTAAAGCCTGCATTTTGAAGCTTTCCAAGTACTTCTTCAAGAGCATGATCGTGTTCTTCTTTGGTTTTTCCCCAAACAATGATATCATCCATATGAGCGACTGCATTCTTTTGTCCATTGAGGGTCTTGTTCACTAACTGTTGGAAAATCTCTGGTGCTGAACTTATACCAAAAGGCAATTTTAAAAACTTGAAACGACCGAATGGCGTCAAGAAAGTGGTCAAATCTTGTGATGTCTCATCCAAACTGACTTGCCAGAATCCATGGTTGGCGTCTAATTTTGAATATAGTGTTGCTCCAGAGATTTGAGCTAGAGTTACATCAACTGGTTGGATAGGATAGTATCTTCGCTTTACACTCCTGTTTAATTTTGATAGGTCTACACAAATGCGAACTTTATTGGAATCTTTCTTGGGAACAACAACCATTGGAGCACACCAATCTGTTGCATGGTGGACTTCAGCTATGACTCCCATGGAGATCATGTTTTTCAATTCTTCTTTTGTAGCCTGCCACAGAGGCAAGGGGATCCGACGAGGGGCATTGATAGCATAAGGAACGACATTATCTTTTAGTTCTACTTTATACTTTTCAGTAACATTCCCTAAGCCATTGAAAAGTTTTGGGTAATTAGCGAACCACGAGTTAGAACTTATTTCATTTATTCTAGATACAAGCTGAAGCTTTTCAATTGCTGGTTTTCCTAAAAGAGGAACAGAAGTCCCTTTAGAAACATATATTGTTTCATAGCATGTTGTATTCTTGTATGACATTTTGACAGTAGCCATCCCTAAAATTGACAGATCTTGCCCATTAGCCCCTTTAAACTGTTTAAGGGTAGGCGACAATCTAATTCTTCTGTTTAATTTAATGTCTGATGGCACGACTGTTACATCTGCTCCTGTATCTATTTTGAATGCAACACTGTCACTGTCATTGATATTTAATAATACTGTCCATGGATCAGTAGATGAATAAATTTGGCTTGGAGTCACCGAACGAATAAAGTCTTGTGATTCAGGGTTTAGATTGTCAATTGATTTAAAATCGTCAGTTTCAACATGGTTTACGTTTTTTGATCGACAAACTTTTGAGAAATGTCCAACTTTACCACAGAGTTTACATGTGTGGTTTCTAGCAGGGCACATATACTTTTGATGAGATGGAGTCAAACCACACCAAAAACAAGATTTGATATTTTTATGAATGGCTTTAGCATTACTGGGTTTGCTAGGAAAAGTTTCATTATGTGAACTAAATTGATTAGTACTTTGGTTTGCATGGGAATGGTTGGAAAAGTTAGGATTCATTTTAGTGATTGTGTCTACTTCAGAGTGTGATAGTTCATGCTTTTGCTTCTTTAACTCCTCAGACTTCCGAACAGTGTTTACAGCAAAGTCAAGTTTTAGGTCATTTTCCAACTGAAGACGGTCGCTAAGGGGTTCGTCATGCATACCAATTATCAAGACCATTAAAATCATTTCCTCTTCAATCTGTCCCCACTCACAACTTTTTGCTAGAGAATGAAGAGCAGTTACAAAGTCTTCTATAGACTCTGTTGATCCTTGTTTACGCTTTAAAAATTTAGCTCTTTCAAAAATTATATTCTTTTTTGGAATGAAATACTGTTCAAACTTATTCAAAACAACATTGTAATTGTTGATATCTGATTCATTTAGTTTAAATGAATCGAGTATTTGTTCTCCCTTTTCTCCCATGCAATAAATAAGCATATCTACCTGTTTTATGCCGCTGGCTTCTTTAAGGCCGCTCAATGAATGGTATCTTCCAAAACGTTTTTTCCATCTTGGCCATTCACTGGGGTTGAATGTAAAAGGTTCTGGTGGTTTCACATTTAGGGAAATTGCAGCTTCATGAGGCACATTAAGGGAAGCATTAGGTTCATTCGACGACTGCGCCATGTTTTATTACCGTACAGTATATAGATTAATGAGAATTCATTAGTTTTGATTCAAAGTATATTATTTAATTCAGATACAGTTATATAGCAAGAACCTTCAAAATATTTACAATTCAAAGTCAATAAACCAACAGATGTTAATTATAACATCTGCTTAATATTACAACAGTATCTAACAAGGTTGAATCAGGTGATCACCTACCGTGAAAAACTACCGCAGTCAACCAATTGGGATAAAATTTTCTACAGGAGTAGTTCATAAAGCTAGCCAACACATAGGCCTATTCATGTTCTTAAAGCCACCTAAATCTATGCCCGTGAAAGTTCAAATTGCAAGGAGTTTTTGGTAACGACTATTTTTAAATTACACACAACAGAACGCTATGGAATTATAACATTTATGGGGTACAAAAAATGTTGTACATTTTTAAGAATAACAGATATTATGTTTTTACTTTGTGAAATAATCTGAGAAGGAGAGATAACATTTTATAAACACACAAAATTACCTGTGCAGTGTTTCCATAAGCCGGATTTTTATCCCAAAAAACAGGATTTTCAGACCATGCTTGGGTGGTATTAAAATGGGATGGAGACATAATGACAAGAGATAAAAACTAAACTCCTTATTTATAAAAAAAATGTGTTAAGTATTATAACAAGGTTAAAAGAACAATTTAAAAAAATGATACGTCTTTAAAAGATCACTTGGGATAGAACGAGTTTTTTTACAAAACTCATGAGGGATCCACAGTATTATATTTGAGATAGTATTAAAGTGGAATAAAATGGAATTTTCAATTGCCTAAGCAGGATTTTGGTTTTGGTAGTGTGGACTGGAAGCAACGTACCTGAGATATGTTGATAGTGTATCCAGCGACAGGGTCATTGTCGTTGAGGAAGTGGCAGAGGTTGTTGAACTCGTCGCGAGGTTCGATGACCAGAGTATGAGGCACTTCGGCTGTGCAGATCACTGTAGAACTGTGTCGGACAAACGCTGTCTTCAATGGGTCTGGTGGACCTACGGTGGAGAAATTATAAACATAGATTTCAACCTATAAATGGTTCACTTAAGAGATGAAGTCCTCCTATTTTTAACCTGCCCGAATTGTATTGACTGCGGCAACTTGCTGTAATTGATTGTTCTGTGTATTTAGTTTATAAATATTAAAGTAATGCATTAGGTTCACCTTTTTACATAAGAATGTATTTTCATTGTTTTATTCATGATACCTATTCTATGTGTATCCAACAGCATATGCGTAGACATACCATGACATGTGGTTACAATCAGTTCATATGCATTAGCCTATTACACAGTGATGGTGTACAAATGGTGGTACCTCCAAAAAGTGGTAGAAAAAGGATTTAACAAAACAAATGAACACAAGGAGGTTAGGCTCAAATATGCTCATTGAGTAAATATAGCATACAACCACTATTCAGAGTATCAATATAGTACAGAAAATCAATATGGAAGCAAAAATTGTAAACACAACAGCAACAAAAAACCAACTGTATGAGGCAGACATTGTGTTTCTGATTGAGTGTATAACATCACGAATATGTACTGTAACATTTCTTTACTAAAATTCAAACCTAAAAGTCCAGATTATCCAGAAAAGTTTTAAATTTTGTGCAAAACTAGCACCGAACGTCTATTTTACATCAGTGTTTCTATACTTGCCTGGTAGGAATGTCTTGTTGAACGGACTGCCCTGGACGTGAACATTCCCTACCAGTACTGCCACACGGTACTGCCCCGCCTGGCGCACTGTGAACTTGCAGACTGCACGGTTGTACGCAGTCGCCTCCCTACCACCGAGCTCTACCAACGTAGCGATGCGACGCAGCCCCTCCGTCACCTCGACTGTGAGTGCGTCCGTGTCACAGATCGGATACGGCTGTCCGTTACGCTGGTAGAACTAGAATAAAATACAATAAAAAAGGGTAATTATCTTGTGTACCACTGAAAGATCTTTCAAGTACACAAAGACATTAATTTAATCTTCTTTAATTCTGATAAAGGGAAGATTCGTCTTACAAAACCAGTTTTTTTCTTCGTTTTAACCATGTCTTGGGACAATTTCGCTGTGATTTCGACAAATTCAGGAATCAGTATTGAATCCAAAGTTTTAAGAGGTTGGGAATCATAATTGGTCCATCCTATGTTTAAGGGGCAAGCAAAATTCACAGCTCAATCCAGTTTTGATTGTTGGCTGAATTCAAAGTTTTAGGTTTTACAGTTAAACTTAATTTGCTTATACTTTTAACAAGCTGAAAATTACTTAAAATTTAGCTCTAAAACACATAGTGTACCTAATACATCTGAAATATTTTCAATGTGTCCAATATAATAATTTTGTTAGGCTAATACCCTGTAAAAACGTATGAAAAGTTACCAACTGTTTCTAAAATTGGCTTCAAACCATTGTTTTCTTCCTAATTTGTATTTATTATTACAGGGATGCACACACAAGCTTGAAGGTGTAAAACACTCTGTGTTTAATACCTTTTAGTTATCCCCTGAAATATAAGTTTTTATTAAATTCTTAATGTTTTAAAAATATGTTTAAAATATGTACAAGTGTGTTCGGACAGCCTCTTACCCTAACAATGAAGGTCATGGTGCCTCCGACGACGCAGGGGTCAGACCACTCAAAGTGTGTTGTACAGTTGGCTGGCTGGAGATACTTGCCAGTTACATACTGCAGAAGGGAGTGCTTTGCCTCAGGTGCCAGGGAGGGTTGTGTCATAGCAGCCAAGGTTACCAATCCTGCCACACTTACTGACACCACCAACATGCCTCCTGCAACACATATACAGTTACATACTGCAGAAGGGAGTGCTTTGCCTCAGGTGCCAGGGAGGGTTGTGTCATAGCAGCCAAGGTTACCAATCCTGCCACACTTACTGACACCACCAACATGCCTCCTGCAACACATATACAGCTACATACTGCAGAAGGGAGTGCTTTGCCTCAGGTGCCAGGGAGGGTTGTGTCATAGCAGCCAAGGTTACCAATCCTGCCACACTTACTGACACCACCAACATGCCTCCTGCAACACACATACAGTTACATACTGCAGAAGGGAGTGCTTTGCCTCAGGTGCCAGGGAGGGTTGTGTCATAGCAGCCAAGGTTACCAATCCTGCCACACTTACTGACACCACCAACATACCTCCTGCAACACACATACAGCTACATACTGCAGAAGAGAGTGCTTTGCCTCAGGTGCCAGGGAGGGTTGTGTCATAGCAGCCAAGGTTACCAATCCTGCCACACTTACTGACACCACCAACATGCCTCCTGCAACACATATACAGCTACATACTGCAGAAGAGAGTGCTTTGCCTCAGGTGCCAGGGAGGGTTGTGTCATAGCAGCCAAGGTTACCAATCCTGCCACACTTACTGACACCACCAACATGCCTCCTGCAACACATATACAGCTACATACTGCAGAAGAGAGTGCTTTGCCTCAGGTACAAAATCTAGTTTATGGATTCGAAGATTTGAGGACATCTTGTGAATTTATGTCACACGTCGGTTTCCTAAGGGACCATTTTTGTGATCACAAAACATCTGTTTTATTTGGAACGTTCCAACATCTAGAGAGTAATCATGTTAATTTAAAATAGAGAGAGACTCATAAGCTGCTCTGGAAAATAATAACGACTAACAAGCTAATAAATAAAAGTCAGTTAAATCTTTCTCACTCACCAAAAGTCCATGCGTCTTGATGCTGGCTGCTCTTGACCACTGCACTCCATAGTTCAGCCTTCAACTTGCCAAGGTCCTCCTTATTGACTGGCAGTGCCTAGTGGGTGTTTATTATTTTATCAAAACTTGAAATAAATATACTAACAGGAAAACTTGTGTGCTACAAAGGGTTTAGTTAAGATTGCATCAATCTATAACTACTAAAAATATTAATATTAATCACTTCTCCCCCTAACACATACCAGAGTTTTAATTTAATTTTATTAAACATTCATAAATCCTAGAAAAGTAGGAATTATGCGTGCAATAGGCAACGTTCCCTTATGAAAATGGGATGTTTGAATACAGAAGAGAAGGTTTTCAGTTAGAATAGACTTCCTTTTTTATAATCAGACTTCAGATTGTCTAGACTATCATCTAACCATGACAAACACACTCGCAAAAAACTTGCCACTCCCTGTTTGTCTGGTACTTTTCATGTGATTGTGATATTCATTTATTATTTATTATAGTAGTGGCTTTAAGTAATTTTGCATATTAAAATACATTTTGAAACCAATCCACTTATTTTTGTATTAAATCGTTTGATCCCAAGATGTCGAAAATTCTACTGTATAGAAAGGTTTATGCCAAGATATTTACGATATTCTGGTGGAAAAAATTGTTCAGCTAGTTCGATTTTCTTAAACCAAAATATTAAATAGGCCTACCTACTTTATAGACACAACAATTAAAATGTTGTAAATCGGAAGCCAGAGAATCACTCTCCATGAGGTTGAAATATTGAAATTTATGCTAAAACTGTGCAGCAAAACCATCTCTTACTGAAACTACTTTGTCTGAAGTATACCTGACGAGCAGCGCTCCAAGCAGCAAAGTCTTTCCCTAGTAAGTAACGAGCCCGTGAGTCCTCCAGCCAGTACACATCCTCTAGAGAGGTCACATCTTCCTGCAGCAGCCTGCAAAGATGCAACTGGTGTCATTGTTGTAAATATGTACAATACAGTACAAGGTACAACACTAGAGATATTCGTATTTCTAAATTTTAGTGGATTAAAATATTGACACAAAAATACATACTGTGACTTACTGCAGTTCAGTGATGACACCAAGAAAGATTTGACATAACTGAAAGGTCACTTGTAGTTGGAGTAACATTAAATTGTTTATCTAGTGAGAGAAATGTTTTCTGTTAAGTTGGATTGGATCTTGTAGTGAGACTGGAAGTTTTTCTGAATAACACCATCAGCAATCATCATCAGAGTAGCAACTTTAAGACCGGGCTACTGAGTAAAATAAAGATTCACACACCTATGGTGATGGTGCTGCAGAGAGAGTGACTGCAGCCACTGTCGCAGTATCAGACGTTGCTGCAGCAGTCTAGCAGCTCTCTGCAGTCGTTCTTCATCATGAGCTGGCAGTTCTGGCAACTCCTCTAATGTCGCACAGGACACCAGGGACGAGATACCTGTAAAACCCTTGCAGTCAATTTTTTGTTCAACATCTGTTTGGGACAGAATAAATTTTGAAGTTAAGTTACCTGTACGACAAGAGTATTTGTATGTATTTACAATAATTACCTCAAAATGAAGAAGTGGATAGAGTCATCAATACTAATTTACAAGTTAACTGACAGGTTTACAATTTTGTAAAAAAAAATCTGACATTTCTTTTGGTCCACACCTTACTTCAGGCTTGGCCTAGAGGGTCACACCTTACTTCAGGCTTGGCCCAGAGGGTCACACCTTACTTCAGGCTAGGCCTAGAGGGCCACACCTTACTTCAGGCTTGGCCCAGAGGGTCACACCTTACTTCAGGCTTGGCCTAGAGGGTCTCACCTTACTTCAGGCTTGGCCTAGAGAGTCACATCTTGCTTCAGGCTTGGCCTAGAGGGTCTCACCTTACTTCAGGCTTGGCCTAGAGGGTCACGGCTATCATTTTGCTAGCCATTGGTGATCAGTGGGATTTTAACCCGCAGCTCGGTGACCCTAATCCCCACGTACTGCCACTAGATTTTCTCTACCTATTTGTGTCATTAACGCAATTAATTAACAATCATGTCTACAAAAAGCCGTTGTTACATAAAACAAGTCGGATTGAACCTTTTTTTGCAAAAAAATAAAAATACCCCCGCCGCAGCAAACCTGCCGACTAAGCGAATTTCCATTTGTCTGAATTGATTTTCAGTTAAATATATTTTAATAACATTAGGTTTAACGAGTACCTAGGTTTGCTGTTACAAGGAAACTAATAGTGTGTTTTTGAGTAAAATATTGATAGCTTAGTACAAAATAAATAAATTTGCCAAGTTTGATCAAAATATATCCATAAACAAGCAAACTACAACATTTGACAATATTCTCCATAAGAATAACATGGGAATTTTAAATTTACAATTTTTTTAATTTTCTCCGTTACTAATAATCAAACAAAAATACTTTTATATACTAAATTATTTGTTTTTTTAAGCTCTTTAAAAAGGTCTGAAGAGAAATAGGGAAATTTTGTGTTTTGAGGGTCAAAAATGAGAAAAACCAATTTTTACCCCATAAAACCCCCCGTAAAGCCCCGTTCCCATGGTCCGATTGTGCTGGTTCGCAAACTCATTCAAGTTTATCCCGCTTTACACCTTTAAACCAAATTTCATCAAAATCGGACAAAAATTACTCAAGTTATCGCGTTCACGGACGTATATATATATATATATATAAGTCTATATATATGTACATATATAAAAATTTGAACAAATGGTGTTTTTGGCCTCTGGGGACATCAAAATGAAAAAGTTAATCGGTCCCGGGTCTAGGTCTTACCGTGCCACCTACGGTAATAGCTACTTCCCTATAGGGAAATTCGCTAAAAAGGGGCCCGTTTAGGAGTACATAAACTAAACTCACAAATTATTCAGACAGATTGCACCAGTGTTGCCGCATAGCAATGTTGACTTGTTGCAGTGTGTCAGAGTCGCGTGCGACCGTCGTCACCCTCGACGTGTCGCATGCGACAATGCAACGCTTTCTACAACTCCGGACAATCACGCGTCGGCCAAGGTAATTTGCATACGATATCCTCGTACAAACTTCACTAAAATATGCCTCACTAGACCTTGTCTTTTTGTGACTTGTCGACAGCCATATAGTTCTTGTGATATTTTAATTCGAATTTGATATCAGTACATATTACTCAATTCTTTAAAGTAGAACGTTTAGGTATCGCGCCAACCCTTCCTGACAATAACAGAATAATTAACTCAGAAGCAATTATCAAAGGGTCTAAATTACCAAATGTGTTAATAGAAATTAGTTCAAGTTTTGGCCTTTTCAATATACCTAACTAGGCTATTTGCGTTGTAGCAAGAATGGGAAGAAGAAAAACAAATTTTCTAAGACTTTTCATCAAATATGCATCAACAATACAACTAAGCTCGTTAAGTAACAGAAAAGACGAAGTACAGTTTTCTAGCAATTAATTTCGTGAAATTGCAACAAATTATAGTCTACTAATATTTGGTCAGTAAAGCAAAAATTAAACTTAAATGTCTTATTTAGGTCACTTTACGGCACAAAACCCTCCTAAATTTAAATAGTTCCCGAGGTAAAGTCATTAAAACAAACCAAAATACATGTTCAACTTGGTAATGGAAATCCACTGCCTATAGCGTGCGATACAGTCATAGCAGTACAGTTGCATTGTTGTTAGTTGTAGGCGACAAGGCCAATACAATCGCTATGGCAGCGGTATCACAACATATCGATTGTACCGTAGCCACAATACGATGCCTGTGGCACAATGCAGGGTTGTACGTCTCAATATACCCAGACCCACTCTGCTCTCTACCATCCCTTAACCTTAGCCAACTCCTCCCCAAGTTTAGACCCTACACCGGACCGTTGTACAATGTACTGCATGTTGGGAGGATTATAATAGGTAAATTACCTGTTGAATGAAAATAAATTATTGTCTAAAGTTGGATAATTTTTTTGTTCTCAACAGTTTACTGTTCCCATTGCTTTGCTTACTTTTAACGAAAAGAATAAGTTTATGTCTACCAGTAGAGTTTAATAGTTTATGACTATAGCAATCATACTTTCACTAATAATTATTTCTTTTGCGAACAAGTAGGCGTAATGCTGTATTTATGTGGTGTAAACAATATCATCCCTGAATTTAGTTTTTAAAAGGTAATGTACAAAGTAGTCCTGTTAAACTTGAAACATTTGTTTCAGTGCGTTATAAAATAATTTTCCCATTTCAGTGTGAATTCCACAGTGTCGGATATTCTACAATTTTGTACAACTCTAGAAGCCAAGCGATATTTCACAAATAAGCATTTTCTATTTTAAAACAGTTTGAAAATTGGCGAAATAACAGTAAAATAAATAATAAACCTTAAAACTCTCTGTATATACACAAAACAGAAAAGTGCCAAATAAAATAGTACGTTTGATCATGTATAATACATAAACGAAATTAGAAATCAACCAATTTCACGTTCAACTCATAAAAATCACGAAATCAGAAACAGATAAGTTTTTACTGTACCACGATTACTAGAAAAATACCGGTATGGATCATAAACATAAACAAAATGACGTTGTTGGCCCGAATCCTATACTAATAGCATTGAACATGTGTTAGTTTTGGCAGTTCCATTTAAGCAATGTTAAATTATGTTTATTTTCGGGCAAAAACGGCATTTGTTTATGTTTATGATCCATACCGGAATTTTCTAGTAATCGTGGTTTTTACCACGTTTTTACCAAAGACGGATTAAGGAAACATGGCAAGTTCCAATACAAATGTAGCGACCAGGTTTATGTTTACAGTGTATAGATCACATAAACACAAACTGTAGACAGTAAATGTTTACGAGTGAGGGTTACTGTATGGTGCAGCTCAGCAGCTGTAGATGTGCAGTCGGGCGGAACTGTCTGATAACACTCAACTTTGCTAACCTCAGTCACACTTTATATTAGTTTGCATCACGTTCAGCTTCAAAATAAATAATGTCTTTACTCCTTTAATGTAGTAGTTAGGGGTGCTTCAGCAGCTTCGACCCCTAGTTCGAACAATAATCAATATGTTCGAAGAAAACTATTCAAAGATAAAAAAACATACAAGTAAAATAAGATACAAAATATTGTAATACTTATTTCAGTCGGTAACGCGACGGACTACGTTGAATTGCGCCCTGATGCCCCCCATTTAAATATCAGTGCAGTCCAGTTTTGCGCTGTATCGGCTCATCCCTTGATATTGGAGTATCAAAAGTCTACAGATATATTTGATTCACAAACATTTCAATCCATAAAATGTGTAGTATTTTACAGAAGTAGGCCCTAAGTATTAGATATTTGGTCCAAAATACTTGGAATGTATTTTTCGTAATTTCGTTTTGTGCAGGTTCCGAGCACTGCACACACTTATCTTATTCCTTTAAAACGTTTTCTTGAGATATTCTGGGTTTCTAGTCTAAAGAAACTTGCGGATGAGTTCGAGAGTTTGCAAAAATCTCACAATGAGCTTTCTCTGAACAGAAGAACAAAATCCATAGTATTATATTGTCTGTGTCCATACACTGACTTTTAGCAGTTAATATAATAAGAGATCGCAGTGGCTATAGTTTTAACCACGAGTACTAGTTTTAACAGGCAGAGATGAGTTCCAGTGATTAAATATCTGGGTAGCTGAGTGTTCATAATACTCGCCTTGAAAACTGAAAGTCACTCGTTCGATTCCAGTCCCAGATGCCATTTGTCATTGGACTATCAATTAATATCTAACAAATTGTAGAAGTTAAATAATAACAAGGACCAGTATTTGTTAGTTTCCTTTCAATACGATAAAAATGCCGTTGGCTTAGATACACAAACACAAATACAGGAAAGGTAAAACATGTCTTAACGAAGACAGCCGAGGGAAGTGCTCTTAGGGATTAAAACAAGGATGAATGGGGATGCTCTTTAACAGGGCGCTACTGTAATGCTGGTGCCTTTGTCCTGGCCATTACGTGCCACCCCCGTAATTTTCATTGATATTCCAAAGGGTAAACACTTTTGCTTTTCAATTCACAGATTTTCGAATAATTAGTTTCGAAAGGAAAATCACCATGTAGAACCCCTCTTAAAAACGTAATTAAGTGAATATTAATTTCGGAAAGTGGCGGGGAAATAGCTTTTACTGTGTATTATTATTTAGTTCGCCAGTTTTGGTTCTTTGGGCGAAACAACTTTGACATTAGGTAAAATTCTTATTTTCAAATCTAGTTCCGCGTACGAGAAGAAACACAAGAATCAGTGTTTTCTTCTCAGTGTTCATAAATTTGATTTCAATGCGTAAATTATCTTTTAGTCTGTATCATCGCTTTTATAAACAAACTGTATGAACAATCTCACTCAATAGATACGACACATGAATATAGTAAATCTGGAAGAAATTCGCCTGTAATAAAATATGGCTCGTAAGACGTCGCCAAATGAACACTGCATCTTGAAACTGAGCCAAATAACCACTGCGGAACTAGCGATCGCCGATATACTATCATAAAAATGAAACAATAACATTTTATTTTGCAAAAAGACACAAGTTGTCGACGTTGTCGTGATGCATAAACTGCTTCTCATTATTAAACTCCAACTCATTTCCTACAAATGCACAGCATCTTTTAATCGGAAAATCTGCAGCCTACCCTGATTTCCCGTTATTTATTTTGAGAACAAAAATCAAACTTCTTTTCCAAACAATTCCCAACCAAAATTCGCTGGTTTTGATCCTATCCAATTTTTTTGCAGCTTGTGTACATTGCTTCAAAATCTGCTTGTTTCCTTAAAGCAATTGAGATCACGACTGTTTTGGTTGATTCACAAAATTACTCGAAATACCTATTGTAATGCAGTATCAATCATCAATAAAAAAAAAATTAAAAACGAACTGTCCCATAAACAACAAAAAACTGTAAATTAATCGGACGGTTTCACTTTTGATTCAATTAAACCTTCATACATATTTAAATAGTCAATAATTTCGATTCGACAAGTTAACTTAATTCCGGATTTCAATCAAGATAAAAATTAGAGCATCGTGAATTTTAGTCAATCGTATTTTGAGCTAACCAAAACATAAACTGTTAACTTTTGAGTTGTAATTATTTTTTTACTTGTCTATGAAAAAACAAGGTAGTTGTTTGGCTCCATTTAGTGTATTCTTATTTGCTCACCACTACAGCATTTAATAAATAATTAAGTGTTATAACAGCATATATATGACGTCATTTTTGGTACAAAGTAGGTCGAAAACCGCAATAACTGTAGAAATATCAGCGAATAACTACATACAAATAGTATTTAAAAGGCGATGATAGGAGGTTGAAAGTTGAAACAACCACTGCATGGTGGCAACATCTGAATGGAACGGTCCAAACGCAATTAAAGCCCTCAGAGCGAGATAACATTGATCCGTGCGAACTGAAGGCTAATGAGCAAATGTATCAATAGCACTGGCATAGTTCTGTTACCATTTAACCTCAACAAAAGTATTGATTTTAAGATCTTTCTAAGATTATATTACAGCGTTTAAATTGTTTTAAAAGTGAATGCATGGTAACATAGACGCCTATTGTAATGCAATTTAAAACTAAGGAAAAACCAACAACCTTGAGGTCGATTTTAGAATTAGGGCCAAAACATACTCCCTTAAAGGTGTCAGAATGATCGAAGAACTTAAGCCATTATTTGATATACAATATTTACAATTTTACAGTAGCTATATACAATTTTGTTTCTTAAATAACTCAAACCGTTGATTTTACAAACATTTTATTTAATGGCCGCCACTTTGTTTTATGAATGTTGAAATTTTTCATAATTATTTTGTAGCTTTGTCTAGATGCCAGGAATGTTTCTGCAAAGTTTCAATTTCGTACGCTTAACTATTTTAATTTTTTTAAATAATAAGTGGACAAAATGGCGGCTGTGTGAGTAACTTTAGGACTTCCGGACAATTTAAAACTCATTTTGAGTGACTAAATAGTTGTTATCATAGCTTCAAGTCAGCCATAGCTTCAAGTCACACCATTGTAAATAATGATGTTAACACCGCACATAACGTTGTAAAAACAGAGACAATAAGTTTGTACTCATATCCACGAAGTGCTAAGTGGTTACGGTGTGAATAGGGTTCTTTCTTGGTCACTTTTCAGGATTGGTTTCTGTAATATCAAATGAGACATTTTATATACATTAAGCTTATTAGATTAATGACATTTGTCTTGAAAATCAGATTAGTTCCACAAAAAACGCTTGCTTGGTAAAGACATTTTTATTTGTTTATATACCAGTTAAAGTCTAAACAAAAAACAAAGAATCGGTACTATAACGGATATAAACGGAACTTTACGTTGCAGGCTAAAATAAATTCAAACAGTCGTCTCTCAAATGTTTTTTACATGATTGTTTTTATTTTTTAAGAAACCCGCTTAAAAACAATAGACTACGTAATTTTAATTACAGTTTCTAATAAGCTGTAGATTAAATAATCAAAATATATTTTTATGCACATTAATTTAACAATACAGTACGAAGTTTATGTATTTGTAACTCGTTTTCAAATTAGGTTAAAAGAACGATTCAAATGAGAGGTCGGAGATTTTTTTATCGAATCTGTCTTTCTTTATAGCTATGTAGTGGAAATATTCGCTAAAAGAGGTTACGATTTTTTTATAATCGTATAATGAAGTATAGACAGTTTAAAAAACAACGTTTTACAAACGATACCCTGATCATATACACTAAGACTAATAAGTTTTAAACATCTTATCCATAACATTCTCAAGATATCATTACTTGTGTACTTCTCAAAATTGTCTACGAAAATCAAACATCAAAAACTGTTCTTAATCGTACCCACTAAAAAATACAATCGGCAAGAAAACAGCATTTAAAAACGGGGTTTCCTTCAGTGTTGTTTAATCTACTGTTTTCATATTTATTTAGATAAAATACGACCGTTTAAAAGTATACTCCTCAAAATCCATTATTTCTCTTTAAAAATCCAATCCGAACAAAAAACAGCCAATCAATCGTTCGCATGAGTGAGTCTGATCCCAAACAAAGGACTCTCCCACTGTAGTGTAGGATGGACTCACCGGATGAGTTGCTGACGGAAGATCGCATGGTGGTCATCCCGATGGAGCAGATCTCTTGCTCCCCGAGGTCCATATTGACAGATGGACGGATCACTTACTGTATACACACAGTTATCACATGGTTATAGGCGAGCGGCTCTGTTGCTACTGACTAGCGACTGGAGGGAACACCCCAACCCCACAGTTGCTGATGCCAGGGAATTTATCCCGAAAAAGGGAGTTTTCGTAAAGAGAAGATCTCCTCAATGTTTCTTATACAAACATATAAGTAGGTCTAACTTTAGTAATAGGTGTCGATTAAATGAATTGTAACCCCTAGGATTGTTTGATGGCAAATAATGGCATCGTCAAACAATACTCGACAAGTGAAGAACGACCTTTTTTGTGTTTTAGAAACTTTATGTTTTAAGAATTTAAAATATTAAATATTAATTTTACATCAAATTTTGATCACGCTGGTTCGGAAACTCGTTCGTACGCCGACCAAATTTCATCAAAATCGGATGATCATGAGACCTACACTAAGCGTATTTCCTACATGGTTAATTCGTCAAAGTGTACGAGAAAAACAAAAATTTTAAGGCCCATCATACGACGTGTACACACCAAGTGTTCTATGTTTGTTACTATTTAAAATATGGAGTTCGAGTGAGCGGAGTACACGTATGTATGTAGATATTGAACTTTAACTTTAACAATAATTTACCTCCTAAACGCTTAAGGGTCCATGGAGCCTAGATGTTCGAACTCATAAAACAGTTAAAGAACTATTAGATATTTAAATTACAACCACTCTGGTGTTTGAAAAATTATTTTTTGACGATAAATAGCTCTCTATCGGCTGTTTGAAATTAACATTGCTCTCATGGCGGGCAAATCCAAGATAACCGTTAGCTTCCATGGACTCCTTTGGAGAACAATTAAAAGTTTACAAAGAACATTTCTAATCTCACAGTATACTAAATATTTAAGTTACGCTAGCCAGCCTCCAAGGACTCTTAAGTAAGTTCAATTTAGATTAGAATTTAACGACGCCGACTGGCAACAGTCCAGGAGCAGGACGCACTTCGGGAAGATTACACAGTAGAACGATCCGCTTTGAATGAATTGATGACAGTTTTTTTTACTGACTAGAACAAGCAAGATCGGACAGCTGGGTATAATTTCGAACCGATAAAAATAGTCCGAACTGAACTAGCAGCCTTCAGTTTACTAGGTGAGCAATACTATACCTTCGACTATATCAAATGGCCAATGATATTACCAATCAACTAGGCCTATGTACCCAAAACAAAACTCCGACTACAAATTATCCACTTCGGTGTCGTCAGAATATGTTATAAAACACAAACTAGTTTCAAACAGAAAACAACAAAACCCCGATAACGAGTTTATCAACTACGCGTGTAGATTTCTGCGGGCAAATCCGGAAAAATCACAAACGTCCTTCAATAAATCCCAAAAACACGGGATGAACACTGAACATTGATGAAGTGGGATTTTCAAACATTTTGTGGGATTAATCGGGAATTTTCTGGCGGACAAAAGGGATATTTCTCGAGTGGAAACACACCCACAAACCCACCCCGAGGCATCGATCCGACCTTGCCCCTTAGTTACCGCCGTAAATGCTTTATTAATACCTCTTCTCCGTTGTTCCTCAGGCGCTTTGAGTCCCGCAGGTATTCTGTGGGATTTGAGAAGGGAAATTGGGAAAGGATTTACTCTTGTTTCGAATTCAAAATTTACGAGCGATATGGATGATCATAACTAAAACTGATTTGTATAAGCAAAAATTCGAATAAATCACCACTTACACGGTAACAACAATTATACTGTAATTATTGTTATATAGTTTTCTGCGGATTACTATCCCTTTTTGCAGGCTTTAACGATTTGTTTACACTGCAATTACAAAGACTAGAAAGTTGCTAATTTAGTATGTTATGCAAAGTCCCCATTGTTAAAATATTTATTTTAGTGATAAAAAAATATCATAATTTTTTCATCTATAAAACATAATGCGCGTTTTGATGTTAATTATTTGCTAGCAACCTGCGTAATTTCGTGACTTCAAAATCCGTGATATATTTGGGTTGATAGGGATAAAAACGATTATTCCACTTCGTATACCTATTACTGTATTTGCATTGCGAGCCCTATTATTTTAATTGCGTGCGCGATCTCTTCGAGGTATCTTAGTCAAAGATACTATAAAAACACAAAATCTAAATCAAACAACATTACAATATTTTACTTGAACATCCTAAAATATACAGTACAGTACTACAAAAACACAATATCCTATCAAAACACAAAATCCAACGTATATCATTTTCTTCTTTACATTTTATACAATAACATTACAATATTTTACTTGCTTTCACTAAAACATCACCAACTGTTTTAACGGTATGGATGTAAACAAAATTGTAAGTCATTATGACAATTTGTTTTGATGTAAACAAAATAGAAACTTGAAAAAGTTCAGATGATTTGCAACAGAATTCAGCACAAACTCTGAAATCTTAATAGCCTATAGGGCGAAGGGCTTTCACGGGATATCTTCCAAACCCGCAAAGGCACATCTAGAGGATAAGAGTTTTAATTAACCCAATATGAATATAAATATTATTTTAATTTTTATTTTAAGTAAACAGCATAACTCCGGGAAATGGTTCTATGGGTCAAAATAAAAAGAAAATCAAGAGTAAATTTTTTTTCCAAAATCGCTTAGTTAACCAGATTTCCCCATTTTGTTTTTATTCATATAACAATTTTATCTTAGAAACTTTACAACAGATCATTACGAAACTTGGTATGAATGTTGACGTAAAACAAACCCACGTTAGAAAAAATATCTTAATAAAATTAAAAATTTCAAAATGGCAGCCATTTAATTTTTTTTTTAATTGATATTGCTAAAGATTACTGATATTATGAAAAAAGTCTATTACAATTTTATTTAGCATTTAAAATTTCTTATCAAACTACACCAAAAAAGTTCGAATAAAAATAACTGAAATATCACTATTTTTAGTTGTAAAATGAGGCAATCATGACTAGCGTAGCCTTGTTCAACATCATTTTACAGCTAAAACACGTGATAGGCTATTTAAGTTAATTTTTAATTAACAGCATTGTTTTACTTAACAACACGAGTAACGGACCAATTAGATTCAAGGATTGAGAGAAAAGAAGTAAAATTGTAATGCTTCGAATTTCAACTAATCAGCTGTTCAGGCCAATTTAATTGTTGAGTGATGCAATTAGTGTTTGGTACAATGTTTCGTTGCATCTCTGGCAGTGGCAGTGAGAGGTTATAAACGAAAACATAACCTCCCTTAGAAGTTAGTAACTAAAACACTGTCGTAGGTTTAGTAGCGTATGCAACTCGAGTAATACTGTAGTCACTGAAGAAGTTTTTAATGCACTCGCCGTGGCTCGTGCATCGATGGGCTCGTGTGATACCTTAAATTCATTTTGTGTCATTAACACTATCTTTACGTGATCGTTGCGTAAAATAATATAAAATATCCTCAATACAGGATATCTATAAGTGCATTCTCAATAATAGGTTGCAAAGACTCATGTTAGCGAATTTCCCATATAGGGAATGAGCTATCAGTATTACCGTATGTCTCATGGTAAGACCTAGACCCGGGACCGATTTACTTTTTCGTTTTGAGGTCCCCAGATGTCAAAAACACCAATCATTCAAACTCATATTTAAATATGTTTTCTATCTGATTTTGATGAAATTTGGTACAAACGTGTGAACCTTAAATTACTTAAACAAGTTCGCGAACCAGCATGATCGGGAGATAATAAAAAATATATTAATTTTAAATTATCGCGTAATTCTTAAAACAAATCAACTGTTTAAGTTTGCTTGTTTATGGATGTATTTTAATCCAATTTGGCAATGTCTTGATTTCATACAAATCTATCCACATTTCAATAAAATAAAGCACACCTTCCCTGTAGCAGCAAACCTATTTACTAATTAAAATTAATGTTTTTTAAATAAGAAATAAAAATGTAACAATTTTAAGGGAATATTTTAGTGAAAATCCAGCCAGGTAAATAGAAATTTTTTTAGTCTGCAGGTTTGCTGCGACAGGGGTATTTTTTTTGCAAAAAGTCATTGAGGCTTGTTTGAGACTTTGTATGAGTTTCAAGTAAAAAATATATAATTCATCCAGATAATAAAGTTTACATGATCCCTTTTTCTGAAATTCAATCAAAAAGTCAAATGTCACAGATAAATTGATATGTTTACAAATTGATATAGGCTACAAACAATGTAGTTTTTCACAGTTTTTTTAACACACCTCCACCTCCGCACCAAGAGTACTGGACCGAAGACATTAACAGCCTTTTACGACTGGAAAGAGGCCCTCCAACAACAACCAGGTAAGAGAAGAAACCACCCTAGCGGCATTGTCTGCCGTACGGAATATCTGATCCCGCCAGCTAAGCTTGCTGTCCACCATGACCCCAAGGTACTTGTTGACAGTACGAACAGTTTGGACTTCGACGGCCCCCACCCTCAACTGCACGATGGTGTCAATCCGTTGATAATACAGTCTGTTGAATGTGTTTTTACGCTTATAGAATTATCAAATTCCTATCTGCTCCTCAGTGCTGTGTATCTTCCTCCAAACAAGCCTGTAATCAGTATCTCCAGTTTTGTTCTGCATGTGAAGAAATTATGCTTTCAAATGGTTCTAATGGTCCCATTCTTCTGGTTGGGGATTTCAACTTACCTGATACTATATGAGATGATACCGACAATACTATATTTGATCCAAATTCTGTTCCCATTCTCAATTTAGCTCAACTTTTTGAACTTCAGCAATTTAATGGCATCAAAAACGACCGTGGAGTTTTACTGGATCTGGTTTTCTCATCTTTGGAGCATGTTGAGGTTACTCAGGCCTTGGATCCTTTGGTTCCGGTTGAATCACATCACCCTTCCCTTGAGATCGAAATTAAATGCCCGGGTAGATTATGGTCAAGAAACATAACATACAAGCTAGACTTCAACAAGAGCAACAAAGAAGAAATATTCAATAATCTACAAAATTGGGAGTATCCATTACTGAGTTGTGTCGAGGACATGGAATCGTCAT